ACAATGTTCAAACTTGTTTCGATTTATTTTGTGGGGAGTTGTTGAATATGTCCGATCGTAGGGCAGTTTCTCTTATGTGTTGAGGTGTATATATATAATATATCCTATAAAGACATTGTTTAGTTTAATTTCAATATCTAGAATTACAATTAAGTTTAATTGTAAGCTTCTTGAGTCAGGGAGGGTCATGGGTCGCCCATGTGAATCCGATTCGATTCAAATATAGTTTCTGAAAAAGGAGATAAACACTATTTTTTTTAAAAGAGTGGGAACAGTTACATTGTAACTATTTAATCGTAATATCCACTCCTTTTAAAATGATTCTTTACCCTTAAATATAGGGAGAAAAATCAGAAATGAAAGAATAAAGAAAAAGATAAAAAAACAGAACATTTATTTCTTATTGACATCAAACAAACCTAAGAGGCATGTACTTTGTTTCCATGAGATTCAAAGTTCGATTTGGAGCAATTTCTCAATAAAGATATCGTTGATCTTCCGCTTTCCGCTAATGTTAACAGGTACACAATCTTATTATACTTACGTAAATATTACATTAATTCTTGAGCAAAAACATTCTTATAACCATTAGAAAATTAATGTCTGAAAGGATTACCATTAATATTTAATATTTTTCATTACTTCCTTGTATCGTCACTACAATACACTAGAGATGTAGTAAATTTCTTTCCGAGTTTTTAAGGTTTTGGTTAGAAATTTTTGTTTTGTTTTTAATTTGATATTAGAACTTTGAATTAAATTACTTAAATCTCATATTTATGAATAAGATTTTTGATAACAAAACTAGCGTATTGTATTGCAATAAATGACTAAGATTTTATTAACCTAAGAAAATATTTTCTAATATAAATAAAGTATTAAACTTAGGATCATCAAATAAATCATAAATTTATGAAGAAAAAAAAACTCTTATAGAAATCCTCAAAGTAAAATATATGGATTCAATGATAAAAAGTCAAAACCATTAAGAGTAATTATTTTCTTTGCCTAAACTTTGATGGACAAATTATCTTGTACGTGTGCTAATTAGAGATACTAGTAAGTATTTCGAGCAATAATCGAATTGCATCCAAACTAATTATTTTTGTTATCATTAATTTTCGTAGACAGCGATATTTCACCAAGAGCAACACGAGGTCCATCATCAATTAAGCATAGTCAATTTTAAGGAGACCAAATGAGTATTTTCAAGCATTAGGACCAACAACAATTGAATTATGGAGCTCCCTTTCTTTGAACTTTCTTTAGCTGCAACATAATTTCAATTTTTTTTTTTTTTTGAAGCTATGATCCAACTGGTCCTTTTGTTAGATAGCCTTTCTTGATGACATTTCGAATGATATGTACCAAGTATAGGTAAGAGATCCATCACATTTTGATGAAATAGAAATGTGTTTATCACTAATGAAGGCGTACATCGATAATAATTTGTTCCTAAGAGAATTGTTTCCCTTAAGAGATAACTGGTTATACACTTGAAATGGATGAAATATTAGTTTGAAATTTGTGAACTTGATTCAGATGTGAGAGGCAAATCAATCTGAATTAAGGCAAGGGTGGCTTCAAGATGAGATCTTCATCAAAGATACATAAGAAAAACTCTATAAATTAAATAAATGACAAGTATAAATTAAATCTCATTAGGATAAGTTCAAACACTTTTTAGGATACTAATTGGGCTTAACAATCATGGCTTGATTTGTTATGCTATTACAAATATTATGTTGTTCAACAAAAATTGTTATTCTGTTACAAACATGTGTTGTCGAACAAAATGAGTTTCAGCGCTCTGGGAAAATGAGTAACACATCCAATATCTTACGAATCCTTTTAGAAATAGGTTTCATCTGATAATGCAGCACGTTTCATGAAATACATTGACAATCGACATTACAAAATTTATGAAAGATGCAGATATTTTATAAATCTTGAGAAGATTGAAAATATAGAATTCAACGTACGAATTATTAAATAGAAATGCAATGACTTGTTCCATCGTTATATAAAAGCCAACAGGGGAAAATTTGGGGCCGGAAAACTTTTTCGTAGTATTTGGATTTTTCCAACCTTGTCCAGATTTGGACGAAATCGGAGTCATTGAGGTGTAGGGAAATCTGGTAACAATCGGGTGAATCATTTATGATTTTGATTACATGAGTAGTTAGATAACTCGTTAAGGAATCCGTACGACTTTACGGAATTGAATTCGGGCTAGTAGAACTCCCAAAATCGATCTTAGCGTAAAGGCTATTTACTGAGCGTCGTGGGTTAGAGATGTGTTGTGAAATGGGAATTTTGGAATTCTTAAGATAGCTCTCTGTTTCGTTTTGGCAGCTTTGGCGGGGATTTTTACTGCTCTGGCGCCGCCGCTGTGGCGGGGTGATGGCCATTGTGGCAGGCCTGACGCTAATTAAAGTCGTTAATAAACCCCTAAACGACCTCATTATGCACTTTTCGACTTTTAGAGCTAAGGAGCGACCCCCAAGCGACTCATACTTGTTTTTCACCATTCTTGAGGCTAAAGGTAAGCCTTTCACTACCCGAATCCCTTTTTCGATCCGTAGAACGTAATAGAATGGGTGAATATTGATGGGGGAGATTTTGTTATAGATTCTATGGTGGAAACAACCCTAATTTGGATAATTGGGATCATGGGTTTGATCTAGGGTTCATAGAATTGTTAGTAATCCGAGTAATTAATGATTGTTTATTAATTCCCATATTATATTGATTGTTTGTAGACCAATAATAAGCGGAACAAATCCGGAAATGGAAGGATCAAGTTTCTTAGGGTTTCAAAGTTGTTTCAAGGTAGGTGATGGTTGTGATTTCATGTTGGTGTGATATATGTTGTAATTGCTTCATTATAATGCATGTATGTATGTGAATTTTGCATTATTGATCACCCTAATCATAAATGAGGATAATTGAATAATGTATGTCATGAATCACCTCTTGTAGTATGATTGTGAGAATATATATTGTGATTGTGATTGTGGTTTGTTGAATGGATCGGGTGTT